TATTAATCATGTGTATAGGCTCAAAACCTAAACCCTAAGTTCGCTGTACGTAAGGATTCCTCTTTGAAAGCTTATCATGAGACTGCATAAACTGTCTCTCAATAAATGTCTTTTGAATGAATATGTACTATATATGACCTTCTTTGTCCTTAGCATAAATTAATTTCCTTGGATTAATTTGTGGACATAAAAGATCACAAAATTTTAACCTCTATAACTTACAGAACTACAGAGATCTTTAGTCATAATGAAAGGGTATATACAAGAAAAGAGAAAAAAGAAGCCTAGGTACTGCAAAATTATTTTAGTTGCTCATTATTGCACAAATCTATTAATTTAGTATCTGTAAACTATTAAAGATGCATTTAAAAAGAATTCTTCCTGAAGAAGCTTTATTTATTGGATAGGAAATCAGATCTTATTTGCATTAATTTTTAGAACAATGGGTCAGCATAATACTCATCTATAAGAATGGGAAGCAGAGGGAAGAAATAAAAACTTAGGGCATATGCTGATATCTAGATATTTTAGGCAGCATCTCTTTAGCACTTCTAAGTAGATTAGTTGTGCTAGGTAAGATATGTGATATATTATTTCATCAGTTAAAAAAGTTCATTATAATGTTAAGTATAAAAAATATTACCAATGAGGTTAACATAAACATACTGCACACATATATACTCACCTGTGTATGAGCCAAAAAGGCAAAAAGATGCTGTAATTTTTTCATTAATGAATTGCACCCATTTAAATTTAACGATAATACTTGTCTCCTGAAACTGAAAGAGAATATAATGATTTATGTATATATGTGTACACAGACATGCATTTTTAAAAAGACTTTTTAAAAGCTAAAAGGAAGTTTGTTCAAGAACTTATTATCCTCCAAGTAAAACTTTACTTATCTGATGGCCCTTTACCTAACAAAGTTACCACCTATAATATAGTAAAGAAGGAAGCAGAGAATGACAATAAGTTAACACTTACTATATGGCCTGGCAATGGCCTATGTGCTGTCACATATTATGCCTATTTTCTAGCAAATAGAAATAGGTTAAGCTACTAATTTATAACTTAAGTAACTTATAAATTCTTTCAAATCTGCATGAAATAAAAAATAGGCTATCATTAAAAAGCACTATAAAGTTAAAGTGATTTAAAGAGTATGGTAGTGGTACAGAATGGGAAAAGGATAAATTATTCAACAAATAGTAAAGGAACAATTGGGTATCCATTTGGAAAAAATGGACTTAGATAAGATTTTATGTCATTATAGATGCCAAAAGAATAATTAACTAAATGT